ACACACTTCACAATGTTTCCGTGTTGATCATGTGCCTGGTTTGTGAGCTCAGAAGAACTTGTGCAAATGTTGTCAGCGCAGGACGACACATCCTACTTTACATCTGCTGTGAAGAACACACACACACACACCATCAAATATACGTGTTTCTCTCATCGCCTGCAGTCACCACACACTACATCTACTGGCTTTACACAGTAAACCAGTGTTTGGGAAAGTGGTAACACTTCACAATAAGTTTCATTAGTTAACATTAACTAATGTATTAACTAACATGAACTAACAATGAGAAATGCATTTGTTACAGTATTTATTAATCTTTGTTAGTGTTAGTTAATAAAAATCCAGCTGTTCATTATTAATGTTAGTTTACAGGGCATTAAATAATGTTAACAAATACAACATTTGATTTTAATAACGTATTCGTAAATGTTGAAATTATTTTTAACTAAGATTAATAAATGAAGAAGTATTGTTCATTCTTAGTTCATGTTAACTTAACTAATGTTAACTAATGAACCTTATTGTAAAGTGTTACCGGAAAAGTATTATGTGACGTAGGGCCATTCAATAATTTAGAAAATGTAAAAATAGAGAAAAAGTCAAAAAAGGGATTCATTCAAAAAACCAAAGATTGCTTTCTGTGTGTTAGATTGTAGTTTATAGTGGTAAACATCAGCACAAATACCTGAGACGTTCTCAAACACTTCTACACTCAAATATGGAGGCCTACATTTAAGATTTGTGTATTTATATCGCATATAATGTTCCAACTATATTAAAATGACACAGTTTTAAAGAGGTTATATGTATAATTCAGAAACTCTTGTTTTTAGCGACGCCGGTGGCCGTTAGTGGAACTGCAGCAGAAACGTGTCGCTCACACACACAACGTACAACAGACTGAACGTGTTTCAATGCTGTAATATTCTTTCTCGTTCTTCTCTTGGAAGTAAAAGCAAGTTGAGAAATACCAAAATAAACACAGTGTTGAGAAAGCAGCAGAAACATCTGATCATGTGATGTGGATGTTTGCAGACGCTCAGATTCCCCATCGCAGACATCCCAACCTGCAAGAAGTCATTTCAGGGAGGTATATCTTGGTGACTGGATTGTTGACGGGGGGGGGGGGGGTGACTGGATTGTTGACGGGGGGGGGGGGTTGTCTATCTTTCCTGAGGCACACTCGCAAGGTCTCTCGCTCTCTCCCTCTCTGCCTTGCACGCGCCGCGCGCTGTGTATGTTATGCGCGCAGTCAGAGCCGTTAAATATGAGTTTTTCTAAGCTCTGGGCGCAGTATGTTCTATCTCGCTCTAGATTCCGGGAGATTTGAACTAATTTGCGGGCATCAGGGAGAGGCTAGCAATATGCGGGAGACTCCCGGAACTTCCGGGAGACTTGGGATGTCTGCCATCGACAGATGAGCTCAGTCACATCACACTGTTATGATAGTTTGATTATGAAGTATATTTGAGACTAACTAGATCTATGTGAGACTATAGTTTGAATGAATCTGTTTTCTTTGCACGACACATTGACATTACAGCACAAAACGGCTCTTATGCTGAACATGTCACGACACACACACAAACAGATAGATCCAAGTCAGAATTTAAAGGGTAATTCGTAATCGTAAGTCATCCAGGCAAAAGCCCCGTTCACACCGCCAGCGACACGCAGCGACAAAGCGACATGATCCCATTCATTTCAATGGAGCGCTGGCGACATCCGGCGACACGAGCGGCAGTGACCGTTGGCGACAGAATGTGGGCGTGTCAAGCGACAAGAGACAAGCGACAAAAGTTGAGAAATTTCAACTTTATGCAAATGAGAAGCGATTTTCACGAGCGACAACCAATAGGAAAGAAGACTTTCAGTGGAGCTCACGTGGAGTGCAGGCAAGACAGAAGAGTTTGTGGGAGATTTCACTGTTTTATATGATTTGACTGTAACCACATACATGGATATAATAAAATGACGAATGGAAAAGAAACTGTCGACAGTCTCAGTGAGTTTAATTCATATACATTTATAGGTCGAGTGTTGCAATTTTATGATGCAAGTTTAGCACTGCTGCAGATCATTTTACAGTTTCCCTGCATTATGTTGACTATTAGGAACAAGAAAATTGATTATTTGTCAAATTCGAATGACGTTTTAGTAATTTATGACAGAATGAGTGAGTTTAATTTGTTGATTGATCGATCGTTAATCTAGTAAATGATCTAATCCATTGAACACTGCTGTGGTGGTAATATAAAAACACTCTCCCAACAGCATACTGTTTCTTTTGAGCCTAATTCCTAGTCAAATTAAAATAATATAGTTGTATATGTCACTTCTGATGGTATTTTTTATAGATATATGGCTAGACGTACAGTCTACCAATAACATTAGAGCGACAGCACTACGAACGCCCACAAGCGACTTCACAGTACAGAGACAAGCGGCATGTAGCGACAAAATCGCTGGCGGTGTGAACGGGGCTAAAGGGTCAAAATCAAAGAAAGGCAGTCCAAAACAAGAAACAAAACAGGCAAAAGATCTCCGAAGTGCCAGTGACATTAAACAAGGACTCCATGACGAACACTGAAACAGACAGGGTATAAATAGACAGATACAAACAATGTGAGTGGGAACAGCTGAGTGCAATGATCAGTGATGAGTACAGACAAAGGATTGTGGGAATTGCAGTTCATGATGTGGTGGTGACGGTATGGGAAGAGACCACTAGTGGACACCCAGTGTACAGAAACCAGACACTGTGACATTAGGCAGGGCGAGACGCTGGGGGCGGTGCCGGCAGGGCGAGACGCTGGGTCGGTGCCGGCAGGGCGAGACACTGGGGGCGGTGCCGGCAGGGCGAGACGCTGGGTCGGTGCCGGCAGGGCGAGATGCTGGGGCGTTGCCAGAAGGCTGAGGCGCTGTGCTGGTGCTGGCAGGGTGATGCCCTTGGGGATGGGCCCTGTGGAATAGAAGATGCCGCCTTCCTCCTCCTCCTCTGCTTACAAGAGTGCGGCAGTGTTACAGTCTCTTTGGCCCCCACTGGGGGTGCAACAGGGAGAATGGACAGCTCTGGAACCAAAATCAGGTCCTCTCGGAACACCGGACTTGAGACCCCCGAAGTCCGGTCCTCCCAGACCACTGGACTTGAGACCCCCGAAGTCGGGTCCTCCCGGACCACCGGACTTGAGACCCCCGAAGACCACCAGACTTGAGACCCCCGAAGTCTGGTCCTCCCGGACCACCGGACTTGAGACCCCCGAAGTCTGGTCCTCCCGGACCACTGGACTTGAGACCCCCGAAGTCTGGTCCTCCCGGACCACCAGACTTGAGACCCCCGAAGTCGGGTCCTCCCAGACCACCGGACTTGAGACCCCCGAAGTCGGGTCCTCCCGGACCACAGGACTTGAGACCCCCGAAGTCGGGTCCTCCCGGACCACTGGACTTGAGACCCCCGAAGTCGGGTCCTCCCGGACCACTGGACTTGAGACCCCCGAAGTCGGGTCCTCCCAGACCACTGGACTTGAGACCCCGAAAGTCTGGTCCTCCCAGACCACTGGAGTTGAGACCCCCGAAGTCGGGTCCTCCCGGACCACCGGACTTGAGACCCCCGAAGTCGGGTCCTCCCGTACCACCGGACTTGAGACCCCCGAAGTCGGGTCCTCCCAGACCACCGGACTTGAGACCCTCGAAGTCTGGTTCTCCCGCACCACCGGACTTGAGACCCCCGAAGTCTGGTCCCCCCGGACCACCGGACTTGAGACCCCCGAAGTCTGGTCCTCCTGTACCACCGGACTTGAGACCCCCGAAGTCTGGTCCTCCCGGACCACCGGACTTGAGACCCCCGAAGTCGGGTCCTCCCAGACCACCGGACTTGAGACCCTCGAAGTCTGGTTCTCCCGCACCACCGGACTTGAGACCCCCGAAGTCTGGTCCCCCCGGACCACCGGACTTGAGACCCCCGAAGTCTGGTCCTCCTGTACCACCGGACTTGAGACCCCCGAAGTCTGGTCCTCCCGGACCACCGGACTTGAGACCCCCGAGGTCGGGTCATCCCGTACCACCGGACTTGAGACCCCCAAAGTCTGGTCCTCCTGTACCACCGGACTTGAGACCCCCGAAGTCTGGTCCTCCCGGACCACCGGACTTGAGACCCCCGAGGTCGGGTCATCCCGTACCACCGGACTTGAGACCCCCAAAGTCTGGTCCTCCCGGACCACCGGACTTGAGACCCTCGAAGTCTGGTCCTCCCGCACCACCGGACTTGAGACCCCCGAAGTCTGGTCCCCCCCGGACCACCGGACTTAAGACCCCCGAAGTCTGGTCCTCGTGGACGATAGCCGGCTGCTCAGGGACGGCCTCCGGAATGATAACGGGCTGCCCGGGGACATTCTCCGGGCCTTGAGAGACGGTGGACGGATGCTTCCTCCTCCTCCTCCGTTTCTGATGGCGAGACGAGTGCTACAGTCTCTTGCAAGGGCATGGCGGCCATCTTGCCTGGAGAGACGGGCATAGCTGGTGTTGCCCATTGGCTGCGATGGTGTAGGTAGCTAGTGAAACCCCAATAATTCAAGTCCTTTCATCTCCCATTGAGGCAAAGGTTCATCAAGGCAGTTATTAAGAAGATCCTTCAGTTCTGCCTCATTATACCCCATGCCTCTCCTGGAGGGTCCAAAATACCTGAGATAGACCACCCACCTGAGATAGTCATGCCCTGCTGACGTAGGTTCGGAAGGTTACGAACTCGTCCCCTCCTCTCCTCTTCAGTGCTAGGGGGAAGGATACGAATACCCATATTGCTGAATCTATACATTTTGATGGAGTCCTTCTGTCAAGACACACACACAAACAGATAGATCCAAGTGCGAATTTAATAGGGTAATCCGTAATCGTAAGTCATCCAGACAAAGGGTCAAAATCAAAGAAAGGCAGTCCAAAACAAGAAACAAAACAGGCAAAAGATCTCCGAAGTGCCAGTGACATTAAACAAGGACTCCATGACGAACACTGAAACAGACAGGGTATAAATAGACAGATACAAACAATGTGAGTGGGAACAGCTGAGTGCAATGATCAGTGATGAGTACTGACAAAGGATTGTGGGAATTGCAGTTCATGATGTGGTGGTGACGGTATGGGAAGAGACCACTAGTGGACACCCAGGTTACAGAAACCAGACACTGTGACAGAACATTGTATAAGCATTAGTTTCATGTGTCACTGAACGGAAGAGAGATTCTCTGGAGCGTAAACGACACATGCTTTAGATTTTCCCGGGAAAAACGACCTGAGTCCTTCATATAGACATCAGTCTACAAGCTTTCAGAGACAACACAGCAGTTCAGGGAAGGTCTCGTTTGTTAAGTTTCATTATATTGCAATTAAAGCGATTAAAACATGAAAATTCGTACATATAGCCTCTTTAACATAAACTATTATACTTAATGTGATGCATTTTTGTCAGTCATACATAAATTGGGCACTCAAAAAAATAATCACAGAATTGTTTAATTATTTGCATCTATTTGATTTGATTTAAATAGTCATATTTTCAAAACGCTTTTATTCAAATTGCTTGGAAGCAACACAAACCTGTAATATTTTTTGTTAAAAAGTATGAACGTGGTAAAAAAAAAAAAAAAAAAGTTTAGCTGTGAAACAAACAATATTTAATTATTTAAAATGTGAGATTGAAACAAATTTTATTATTACTATTACAGAAATCTGAGCTGTTTTATTTACAGTGTGTGTGCCTGACATATTTACATCACATTACATTGATGTTTGGTAAAACCGTGTAATCCAAATGAACGGAAATATGATGTGCAATTTTAATGCATATTTCAAATGTTACATTTTTATAATAAAAAAGCCAAAATTTGAATTATTTGTGTATTTAAAATGCAGTACGATTACACAAATCTGACCTGTTTTATGACTGACTAATATGCAGCACTTTAAGTTTATTAGTTGCATATCTTAAATCTAAGGCTAAAATATGATTTGAGTGCATCACTGTGCCATAGCAGGCGTGTGTGTTAGTTGTTGTAGTGTGTGGTTTTCTTTGAGTAAAGTAAGTTTCACTAACCTGAAGAACCTCACTGATTCTCCACTGTGTGAACACACACTCTTGATCACTGTGTGTACGGGCCACACACACTTGATCACGGTTAGATTCACTGTATTCCTGCGGTTTACTGAGACAGAGTGTGTTCTCAGCGCTGAGCTGCTGTAAAATGACTGTGTGTGTGTGACTCCAGGTTGTTGAACAGCGCATGTGTTTACAGTGTTCAGACGTCACTCATACACACCTCAAGCTCGTCTTCAAGTTTCCCGTGTTCGAGAGACGCTGTGTGTCGTTGTCAGAGTGAAATCAAACGTGTTTAATGTTGAAAATATGGAATAAATGTGTTTATAAGTGCGTGGTCTGTCTGTTTGTTCTGCTGTCGAGTTTAAAACACTTTTACATGTAAAGAAAGATGTGTTCAGAGGAGATTAAAGATTAGAAAAAGCTCTGTTATTCTTTTTGCAAACATATCAGGGATGCATTATAATCTCCATGTTAGTGATGTATATTTTTTATATATTTTACAAAAACTTTTTAATTTACTTAAGTATTTGATATTTAAGACTATATTTATTCATTGAATTCATTACATTGTAATTAATATTGGCAGAAATGTCACAATTTGTGAATTTTTTTTTTAATTAATTGTATTTGCAGATATTTCCTATTTCAGGCAATATTACTTTTAAAAAAAAACTTTGTTTCATGTTTTGGGCAATATTTATTTATTTATTTTTATCGGCGAGGCTGATATTTGCATTTTTGGGCATTTATTTATTTAGACATTTATTTAGACATTTATTTATTTTAATCAGTATTTTAAAATCATATTGGCAGATACTTCATATTTCAGGCAATATTTGTTTATATTTATATTTATTTTATTCTGTATATTTCATGTTTTTTGGCAATATTTATTAATTTATATTTCCATTTGTGGTGGCAGATATTTGCTATTTCTTGCAATAATTTTTTTTTATTTTTTATTTACAGATATTTGATATTTTTTCCAATATTTTTTATGTATTTATTTAAATGTATTTTATTAGTATTGGCAGATAAATTTTTCTTTTTAATTATTATTATTTACAATATTTATTTATTTACAGATATTTTACATTTTGTGGGGTATTTTCCGCCTGTTTTAAGATATAGATTATCATCTAACATCCATATTTTGTTCTGATGTCGGTACTATACAAGTATTTTTTCCTTTTTAAAATCGTTTTACACCTGAAGAACTGAAGAATACTATGATTATTATTTTCTCCATTTACATGAGAGTCATCTAAAAAAAGCTCTTTTACTCTTTCTATTAATAATTTTATGCTGCTGCTGGAAAATATCTGAAAATACCAATGACGTTTGTTTGTTTTTGCACACACAGTTAAACACTAAGCCTGTTTCTGCCATGGAATTAAAATATAAAAGGTAATTGGGACTTTTTATCACACAATTCTGACTTGCAATTCTATCTAATCTAATCTATCTAATCTATCTAGTCCGTCCGTCTTAATCATCATCATAATAAAAAGCCATTTACTCATGTGTTTTAATGTTTTCAGCGTCTCACTTTCTGTGGACTGAAATACATTTGTAATAGGAAAAATATGGTGGGAAAAAACACCTGTCATACACACACACTCACACACACTTCACCGACAATCTGATTCTGTGATGATGATGCTTGAGGAAATGCCACATATTATCTGTCAAACTGTGATGAAATAAAGGGTTTTACTCTCCGTTGGAATTACAAAATTTACATATATTGTGCAACATAATGCAGTAATGAGGTGTGTGTGGTTATTGCTCATACAGTAGCAGGTAACACTATGAAAGCCCATTTCATCACTAAATGAAAAAGCAAAAAGATAATTGCAATTTTTTTCACACGCAATTCTGACGGGTTTTTTTTTTTTTTTACACCTCACAATTATTTTTTACTCGCAATTCTGACTTTATTTCCCACAATTAATAGTTTATCTGTCGAACTTCCATTCCTCTGAATTCTCATGCATGTTTGGTGGGTGAAAGGGTCGTCTGATCACCAGATGTCAAAATCATCTCCTAAAAACTGAATTCTGGCTTCTCTTTTCTTCATTTATATTTCTGAATGGCGACATAAAAGTTCAAAATCAGAATTGTGCAATTAAAAAGTTGCAGTTACGGTAATACTACAACTATTCATTTTTTATAATTATTTACAATTTTCCTATTCTGTGGTGGAAATAAGCTTCCATAAAAAAAATTAATAAATAAAAAATGGTTCTATATAGAATTCTGGTGTACTTTATGCCAAAAATGTTCTTTAGAAGGAGAAACGTCCCAAGTTGAGACACTCTCTCAATGTACCCCTTGTTTTAATGCACCTTAAACACTACACATAACATACAAAAATATATATATATAAATAAATAAATATTTTTTAGGAGAAAATAGGGATTGAAGAGATGTGGGGGGAGGGTTATCTTATATTATCTTGAAGAGTGCTGACAATGGTAATTGTTACATAGGAGGAAAGATGGAAATAAGAATAAAAATTGACGTTGGTATTGAGGAGTGGTGGTGATGATGGTAATGATGATGGTAATAAATAATAAATGGTTATTTTGCTTATGCACATAGACACGCACACACACACACACACACACACACACACACACCCACTGTTATTTTCAGTTCTGCAATTACTATATTGTTCGTTAATGCACTATTTTGGTCTGTATGTCTGTTAAAGAAAAAAGAAAAAAAAGAAGGAGAAACGTCTTAAATGATTGCATAATGCTTTCATGTTTAACTTATTTCCATGTTTCTAATGACGAAGTCTGTTTACAAGCTTTGCTTAAATGTTGGCCTTTGTCTCCATGTGTGAAAGCACTAGTGATGAATGTGGCGTGTCTTTCCATAGTCTCAGATTTGACACTATGGAAGTCAAAACCAGTGTTCTTCATCTGAGTCCTAGCTAAAGTTCAATCATTTCTCTCTTTTAGGGACTTTTAACAAGGCTTGACTCTTGTGATTCCCTGTATATGTATGTGCATTAACCCCGCAACCATACGGCGGCTCCTGATGGTGTTTGTGTGATCGAGAGCACATTACTCCAGTTCTGAAATCTGATTTATTATCCATTCACAATCCTGGAAGGACTCCAGGTCATCCAACTGTTAAATGTTCCTCGGGTAAGATATTAAAACGAGAGGAGATCGAGCTTCTGCCGTTGCTGCACCAAAACTGTGGCAGCCTCCCTGTTTTTATTACACCTGCAGGAGTTTAAAGGGTAACTAAACCCTAAAACAACTTCTTTTTTTTTTAGTTAATGATCTGTAAGACTGGGGCTTTATTAATGCTGTTCATTGATTCGAGTACATTTTTTGACATTTGGGTATAAAGTGTTTTAATTCTACAATATATGGTGTAAAAGCGTCTGAGTGCTGCCCTCTTCAGGTTGAACGGTGGCTACTGCAGGTGAATTTTCCTATTGGATGTTGTGGTGCCGCATGACGTAAGCAGGCACCTGTCACGGTGGGTAAATCCTATGTCTCATTCATGTCTCGTGTTTCTGTTGTTACATGTGTGTGTGTGCTGATTAGAGGGGCGTGGCTGCTCATCAGAGCTCATTCAGTAATCACTCATCACCAGCTGCAGTCTATCATCCCGGTCTATTTAATCTCACCCATTTCTCATCTCCATTGTCAGATCGCTGTTTGTGATGTCCGGTGTTTGATCCCTCTACGTTCCAGTATCCTTCGTTGTTCCTGTCTGTTCCCTGTGGATGTTCTGGATTCGTCTTGTTGATCGTCACCTCACTTCACCTGCACTGTATCCATCTGACCATCGAGTCCCTGCGCCACTTACCTGCCTGTCTGTGGATCGTGTACTGAGTTTTCAACCTTGCCTGTCTGTGGACTGTGTTCTGAGTTTTCCAATAAATATTGTTACTTGCAATTGCTT